ATGATGTTGTCAGTCAGGTTACATTTGCTTTGTTGCAAATGCAGCTTGTAAATTAAAAACATCGGATGGACTGAAATTATCAGAGTCTCGACAGGAAGATATTTCACTGAAAGTTACAAATGTCATCCTCATGGGGGCGCCAGAGGAACATTTTACATATTTAATTTATTCTGTTTTTTACACATGAGCCTGAGTCACACACATGCCTGAGCATGTATTAATGGAGAGATGTCAGAGTGAGCCTGCTCCAGTTGGGGGTTCGGTGCCTTGCTCACGGGCACCTCGTCAGTACTCAGGAAGTTACCTGGCACCTCTCCACCAACCAGACCAACTTACATACTTTGGTCCGCACTGGGAGTTGAGCCGATGAAACCTCTGGCTTCCTCCTTGAGTCCGTACAGACTGAGCTACTGCCACCCATAGAAACGATGGAGATCATCAAAGTCTTCATTTGATGATCATCATCATTTCTGTATTAAAGTTAAAGCCATTCCATCTAATTGTTATTAAATGGTCTCATTAAAACCTCCTTTACTTTTCTAAAGATTTTTTGGGGGGCTTTTTGTGCCTTTAATGGGTAGATAGGACAGTGGAGTCAGGAGAGAGAGTGGGGAATGACATGCGGGAAAGGAGGCACAGGCCGGAGTCGAACCCAGGCCGCCCGCGTTTAGGACCACAGCGCGCACTAACCACTGCACCACTGCACCACCAGCGCCCCAAAACCTCCTTTACTTTTCAGAAAAATGTATTCTTTAAGGACGGGGAGACATCATGACAGGTTTCCTTTGTTTGTCCTCATGCAGAGAGTGACGAGTTATTTTTCTTTATCAAAAATGAAGGAGGGTCCATATCACCTGTTTTTTTAATTCTTATATGTGTGGCTGTGGATCAGTGATAGAGTCGGTCGTCTCTCAACCTGAAGGTTGGGGGTTCGATCCCCAGCTCTTGCAGCCTCATGTCCATGTGTCCCTGGGTAAGACACTTAACCCCAATGTGTATGAATGGATGAGTTAATACTGATGGTCTCTTTACTCAGCAGCCTCTACCATCAGTGTATGAATGGATGAGTTAATACTGATGGACTCTTTACACAGCAGCCTCTACCATCAGTGTGTGAATGTGTATGAATGGATGAGTTAATACTGATGGACTCTTTACACAGCAGCCTCTACCATCAGTGTGTGAATGTGTAGGTGTGTCCTATCCTGCGGTGTGAAAGATCTTTGAGGAGTCAGAAGACTAGAAAAGAAAAATACAAGCTCAGGTCAATTTATCATTCTTAGGGCCTAGTATGTTTTATAAGATCTATTGAAGCATCATTGGCGTACCTGCTGTCTGAACTCTGAGAAGAGGGAACACATCTGCATTTCAAGGGTCAGTCAAAAGAGACAAAGAGATTGTAAAGTTTTTTTATTTGTACAAAAAAATCCCCAAAATGCTCAGAAAATTGCATGATAGATATTTTGAATAGTTTGAAGCATTGTGTAAATGAAACAGTGCTGTTAGTCAGTAATGAATGGAAGCACTCACAGGGAGCACAACGAGCCAAACGAAAAAAGAACTAAAGTCCAAAAAAAACAACATCGGACCGAGACAACATCCTCAATAACCGGTCTGTCCATCGATTGTACACACGGCAGCAGGATCAGGATGTTTAGCCAACAAACACACCACATGACAAATACTTTCAATGGAGAAAAAAAAACATAATGAGTGCAGTCACACACACACAGGAAGCTAACAGAAATAAGGACAGAGACAAAAACAAACATGTTACAATTTCTTTCTAACTAAATTTCAGTTACAGCCTGGTAGGAGCGGCTTCACTCTGAGCCTGCTGCAGCCAGCTGACAGTCTGCAGGTTTTAACATGAAAAGGTACCAAGCTTTTTACATCCAGCGTGATTTCTCTCAGACGATGGGTGTGCACGGTGTGTTTTTATTTCTCAGAGAGCTTTCTAACACTTTGTTTGTTCTTTCTATGAATGGTTTATAAATCATCATCTTGAGCCTCATCAGATCTATGTTTTCTAAATGAGTGAATTTGCACAAACGGAATGTCCTGTCTTCTAATGTTTTCAGGGTTTTAACTTTCATGATGTGTTAAAGATCAGATTATTATACATTCATGTTCCGGGGTGCTTACAGGTACAACACACCATCATATTGTGTTTATGTTTTTTTTAAGGATTATTTTTGAGGCTTTATTTTAGAGAGAGGATGTCAGATAGAATCAGAAATCAGAGAGAGAGAGCGAGAGAGAGGTGATGACATGCGGGAAACGGGCCACATGTTGGATTTGAACACGGGCCGCCCGCTTGGAGGACTACAGCCATCGTACATTGGGCTTATGCACTAACCGCTAGTCCACCGGCACCCCATATTGTGTTCATTTCTAATTATGATGGAAATCGTTTCTACAATTTTAGTAAAATAAAAAAGCTTTCTTGCCTACATGGGCGGATCCCAGGGGTGGCCAGCCACCCTGAAATCTGATTGGCCACACCAAAATCCTGCATTATGATTGGCCCTTTGCCTTGTCAGAGGTGGGACTAATGTGTATTATTTGGGCTGTGTTGTATCAGGCTGCTGGAAGCTTTGTTTGCATTTCAAGGTGTTCATTTTGTTTTGTCAGAACTTTAAATTCTGACCTGACAAACATCTTTGAGATTTAATCTTAGGAGATTTAAATGTTACCTACGTGTACATTTTTCTCATTTAATAATCATTCACAGGACTCTAACATCTGTATGATACTTTACTTTGACATGATTGGACGTGACAGAGACTGAATCATGATGTTCATCAGTGTGAGAGAACGTCAGGCCGACTCTATGGAGTCACACCTGCTTGATCAAATAAAAAATAAAGAGAAATATCTGAAAGTCGTTTTGGTTCTAACATTGTAGACACCTGTCTGTGCTTTTACACTCCTAACAGGACGATGAATTCATGTTTTCTGCTCTTTGGAGACTCGTCACGTCTTTTATTCGACCTCCGAGCAGATGAGAAACATTGGCAGAACATTTTGACCTGTGTTTATTTATTAACTACTTTATTACTTTACAGGTAACTTTACCTTTAATGCACTTTAACACTATTCACCATTAAGAGTTGTCAGCACAATCAAGTGAATCTTTGATTTATTTTTGGATTAATCGATGATCAGAATGCTTTTCAGAATCTTTATCTCATCAGTGAAATATTGATGTGGAACTCAGAAGAACTGAATGTCATGCCCGCTTTACATCCTGTCACACACACACAGACACAGACACAGACACACACACACACACACACACACACACACACACACACACACACACACACACACACACACACACACACACACACACACACACACACACACACACACTCATACTCACACTCTGAGAGGACAGACGTGAAAAAGAGCCTCCAAACAGCATACAGGTATTTTTATATTTCTGCCTAAAAAAAGATTCTCATTCAAAAGGTGTAGACGTTTTTTATATAAATATATCGATTTCCTCCAAACCTCTTTATAAAAAAATCATTCTTTGGGTTGATCCTTCCCAACAACCAGCTGAGATGATGAGGAGACATCTGCATAGGTTCACACAGCTGCATGACAACAAACACACGAGACGTCCCAGCGCCACGCCGTCACAGCGCCACGCTCAGAGGTCAACACAGGGTCAGAGGTCAACACACTCAGAGGTCAACACACACTCAGAGGTCAACACAGGGTCAGAGGTCAACAAACACTCAGAGGTCAACATACACTCAGAGGTCAACACAGGGTCAGAGGTCAACACAGGGTCACACTGTCAGTCGCTCAGAGGTCAACACAGGGTCACACTGTCAGTCGCTCAGAGGTCAACACGTAGACATCAGCTAAGATGGAAGCCCGGCAGCTCAGAGATCAGAGGGCCGTGAAGTGTTGAAACAATGAGAATGGAGGTAGACCTTTTTCTGTGGGTGTTGAACCAGAGAGGCTCAGATGTGAAGTCCAGAGCTTGAACACAGACGAGTCGTCCTTTGATGAAGCGGTGAACAGTTCATCCTCCTTCCTCCTTCTCATAATGTAAACATTGGAAACGTTTTGGTCGACTAGGAAGATGATGAGCATCACGTGGAGATGTTGGAAAGTGCCTTCCTGACAGACATTTACAATATAAAGTGGAGGAGTGGAGACAGTGTCACTAACTTTTGTGTCCCAAAGGTTTATTCAGATGTCAGAGACGAACGTGACGGCTCGCTGACTTCACCTCCAACAGGCCAAACTCAAAGTGCTGGTTTTTAAACATTCTCCTTCCTGCCCTGCTCATGATTCACTCCATCTTTCTTTCATTTCTGGGGGAGAAAATTCAACCGTAATGAAATCTACTGACAGCACAGCCTCTCTTCATTCTCTTCATTTAAATATTCTTTCGTTTTAGACATACTTGTAACTTTTAGGGTCACAAATTGAACTCAAAGAAGCAGTATATAACTCTGAAACCTAGAGTTTAAAATGGGTACTGCAGTCTAAATTCTAAACATTGTAGAGAGCTGTCTCCCCCCCTCCTCTCTAGAGTCGATGCTCTCACAGGTCACCATGTGGTGGACACTGAAGCTTCAGTGTTAATCCAGCTCTGCATGGGTCTGTAAACCTTTCTGTGTTCTAACCTCTCTCCATTTTTCAAAAGCATCTCCAATATTGATCCTAGTTTGAGCACGTTTCTGCTCGTGGAGCTTATTAGAAACATGCAGAGGCTTTTTAGGTCGGGTACAATCACTTCTATCTGAACCACTTCTCTTGACCGCTTCCATCACTGCAACACCTGTTGACCTGATAACTGCTCTCATATCTGGCAAACAGAGGGGTGTCCAAAACGGCCGTGTGGGGGGGTTCCTTAAAACCTCCTACCTTCTCTGGTCCAAACAAATCCAGAGCATTCAGGAGCAGAATCTAAAGTTAGAAGGAGGACATACTGGCTGCTGCATTGTTGTCAGAGAAGCCAGCACTTCAACATAGCATGTTTCATTAATGTCTGATCAGATAGTAAGATCATTTTATCATTTCACTCTCTACACATCTTACTGACTGGACCTGTAATGTAAACAGCATCGGCAGCTTATCAAACTTAAACAAAGTTGAATCAAATCAGTTTTTTTCTTTAGTTGTTACATACACTTCACTCACTATGCTCTTGAGGAAAACCTTCAAGTTCAACTGATTCATTAAACTGAAAGTTGCTGACTCAGGTTGGGGAAAGCAGCAACACTAGAGCTTAACTGTCTGAATAAAAGCTGAACCTGCGAAGAACTCCTGGGAGAGGCTTATCACTGTCTGTAGATTTCATTATGAATGAACACCTCTTCACATGTTTTGTCATGTGTAATCTCACAGGGAAACCTTATAGATCCATTGTTTTAGAAAAAAAATATAGATTAGTGAAACATTGCATGAACATAAGCTACTCAGGTCCCCAAATGTTATGAAAGTGCATTTTTAGTTGGTGTGAAAAAGGTCCTTTCTCTGACGCTGACTGGAAGTTTAGATCCTGTGGTTGTGGTCTAACATGAAACCCTTTGGTTCTGTATACAGCTAACCTTTATGAAGCTCCTGAACAAATGAATAAACCTGAGAGATCACATGTGGGCTGGCTTCAACATGTCCATAATCCTGTAAGGTCCCTGACCCCCCCCACCCGTCTTTCCCCAGACTCTTTGGCCTGATAACTGGGAGTGTGTTCCCTCTACATCGTTGGCAGTGGGCTTAGTACAGATGGTTGTAGGCACTACGTCCTCTCTGGAGGTAAATGTTGTGACCCTGTTCACGTTCTGTAAGACCGCTCGCTTTCTAGAAGAGTAGCTGAAGCCAAAGCCTCTGGGGAAGTTCTATTCATATACATCTATCTCTCACTGTCAGCAGAGACAAGTAATGGGACAGATAAAGTGCAATATGACCCCCCCCCCCAAACCTCAGTGGGTGTGTCACTGCCCGTCTTTGGCTACGGTGTTCCCCCTGTACTGTCCCTCCTCCTCGTCCGTCTCCGCCTCTCTGCTGCTGCGCTCAGGCCGGTCCAATGGGCCTCAGCTCTTTTTGAAAAAAGAGAAAAGTCTCCTGTCCCGGTCTGAGATTCGGTGAGCTCGCCTGGAGGACTGACCGCCGTGGGCCCTGGACGCCCCTGACAGCGAAGAAGGGGCCGAGCGCCACTCGTCCTGGTACTTGTCCATCAACTGCTGGTCAATGACTCTGTGCATATCGTCCTAAAGTCGAGGACAAAGACACAAGTGAGAAGAAGACAAAAGGGGAGTGTCACACAGAGAGGGAGGGGTGGGGGGATTTAAACCTTGAAAAACCAGACCCTGTAAACGGAGGAGAGCAGGGAGAGTTAACGTAAGTATTGATGACATCATCTCTGAATACTTCTCAAAGTTATGAGTTGTAAACAACAGGAATATCTGAGCACAGAATGATCAGGACCAATTTAACCCACCAGGGGGCGCCATAGCACAAATTTGCTACTAGGCCTTTAAATCTGTTCCAGACACTTTCTGAGAAACAACTCCTACTGAGGTCACTTCCCTCTCTATGTTGGCCATAAATGGATTGCATGAATATTTTATCGAGCTTTCCTTTCTACATAAGGAGCCCACCGCCTTTGAGCACGAGGAGCCTCCTTTCTTCATCTCACCAAATACCTCAAATTACTCAACGCATTTATTAAGTTTCTGGGTGTTTTTGTGGGTAGTTGTTTGGCGTTAAAGCCATAAGGGGGCGCTGTTGCTCAAGCAGCTGAAACAAGTAGGCAACAAAGATAAAGACATAAAACGTCTATAAATCAACAAGTGATGTCACATAAAAGAGTCCTGATCAGGAAAGAGAAGAAGAAATCTTTTGAACACATTTCAACAGAGGTAAAGGTGAATGAAGAGAGGAGAGAGGGGGGGTGCAGACAGAGAGAGAGAGAGAGAGAGAGAGAGAGAGAGAATGAGCGAGGGAGACAGAGGGAGAGAGAGAGAGAGAGAGAGAGAGAGCGAGAGAGAGAGAGAGAGGCGGTGGATTGGGATGGTGTTCTGTGGTGGTTTATGGGTCTGAAGGAATGCTGCAGTGGGCATTTCTCCAGAGTCGGATAACAGTGGCATGGAATGGCTCAGCGTGGCATTGTCTATTAGTGCAGGGTGAAATGGCGAGATGGCACAGCTCGGGCTCACCTCTAAGGCTGGAGGGGGGGGGGTACCACAGGGGGGAAAGGGTGGTACGGAAGCTGAGAAAGGCCACTAGATCAGAAACCACAAGAGCCAAAAAGTAAAGAGCCCTGAGGAGGCAAACTGTGGGCAGGGGAGAAGAGAGAGGAAAGAGCTACTAGTTACAGGTCAGGGGATGGGAAGGACACACACACACACACACACACACACACACACACACACACACACACACACACACACACACACACGCACACACACACACACACAGTGTCCTCTACATACATCAAATGCTTCCTCACTAACATCCAAAACAGGCAAACTGACCAAACACCCTGAGGAGTTAAATGAGTGATTAGGTGTATGCACAGGTTCAGGTTAAAGAGTGGAGTCATAGATGGACGTTATAGCCCCCCCTACTGACGGTAGTATAGAATTAACTCCTCCTCCATGTTAACTAATTAACATGGAAACAATTAGAATCAATGATCCGTCAAATACAGTTTTATTAAAGGAAGAATGACGCTTTAGGAGCAGTAGCCTCAAACGCATAAGGTCAAACGCTATTGATGGTCAAATTTTTAAAGCTTGGAGCTGGGACCTTAATGGAACTGGGTTTCCATCCCCCTCTCTACCAACAGCAGAGTCAAAGAACTGTCCATGAGTGTCTATTTGTCGATTTCAATCCGAAGAATCTGTTCAGTGTGGACTGTGCCGACCTGACAGAGCGTTGTTTCATTGGTACGATAAAGGTTAAACCAAAACGTTAGGTTAACACCTTGACTCCATCAGCTGCTCCCTACTGCGCACACCTTCACTACAAATGCTACAACATGCCAGCCCCTCTTGGAGGGTATTTTGTCAAGGCGTCTTCACCTCCTCACATTGTACCAAAGTGAGGAGGTGAAGACGCCTTGTCCATCTTTATATACGGTTCAAACAGACTGAACACGTTAGAGAGAAGACGGGGGATGGACAAGCTGCACTAGAAGTGTCATTTCACTCTGAAATACTCCACAGTATTCTGACTTCTTTTCCAGTTGTAGTAAAATCATTAATCCATACATCCCATGCTAACCACACCATATTTATCTTTTACTAATAAACCACCTGTGACCTTTGACCGACCTGCCAAGCTTCCAGCTGCTGCGAGAGGTTGAGCTTCTGCTGGATGGCGTCCAGGAGCTGGCTGTTCAGAGACATGATGTCTATTTTACACTTGGCCAGTTCCATCTCCACAGCTTTCTTCCTGTAAGGCACACATCACACATTCAGTGTAAATACAGTGACAACCCCCGAACGTAATGATCCTAAAGAAAGTCTGTTCCAACTCCTCCAGTGGGGAGGAATGTAACATAAGGTGGATGAGGACGCAGGTAGGTATTAGATAGATAGATAGATTGATACTTTATTGATCCCGAGGGAAATTCAAACTACTACAGTATTTACACTACTGTATTAGACTATAGTCAGCAGCAGGTCAGCTTGGCTAAAACAGTTAGCAGAAAGCAGTTAGCATCACTCTGTCAAATGGTATAACCCTAACCCAAAGAAAGTTTTTTTAAAGGTTTAGTTCTGGGCTTTTTGTGCCTTTAATGTAGAGATAGGACCGTGGATAGAGTCAGAAATCAGAGAGAGAGAGAGAGAGGAATGACATGAAGCCACAGGTCGGATTCGAGCCCGGGTCGCCCGCTTGGAGGACTACAGCCTCCGCACATATGGTGCCCCATGCACTTTAAAGGAGTAACATAAGAAAGATATAACACGTTAAGAAGGGAGCTGAAGAATGTTGGTAGACCACCTTAACTGGAAAAGTGGTCTACCAACGTGTTTGCATTCCTTTCCTCTCCCAAAAATGTTTGATAATCTCTGAGGTTGGTTTGAGTTATTTTATTGTTTCATTCCTGTTGCTGGTTACACCATCAGACTTTTAAGGGGTGTTTCCATAACTCCAGTCCTTAGTAATAACAGTTCATGTTTGTCAATATAATAATAACACACCTGATGTTCTGATGAGCTGGAATACGTCTTAAGTTGACATTGTAGGTTAAAGAAGGTGAAGGTGGCAGATGATGCATATTTGCACTCGTGTTGAGGACTTACTTGGCTATGGCGTCGTCTCTGTCTCTGATAGCACTCTGTAGCTGCTCGCTTGGTTCTCGGAGTTCAGCCATCGTCTTCATCCGCTCGTTTTCCTCCTGGAGAGAGCGCGTTTCTACAGAGAGCAGCGCCATCTGCAGGTGACATATAACACATCAACACAGACGCATGAGGCTCAGGTCTTATAGATCATTACAGCAAAGGTTGCTCATGAGGGGACCCACATGAACCAGAAAGTAACTGGCCTGTGTGTGCAGCTTCTTTTGTGTAAATAAGGATGAGAGCTGGACCCAGCAGTGTCCACCTTTACAAACATAACCATCTTATTGGATTACAAACTGGTGAATGACCTGTTCTCCATACAGGAACACAGGGTTGTATAAATGTTATTCTTTGACATGAGCACTACTTTATTTCAATCTGGGTCCGGGCCCCCTAAGTAGTCCCTGGGCCAGAGCCCAAAATCAGTCGGTACCACTCAAGGTGGTAAACTTTTTAGGAAATGTCTGTAGATTACTTTTTGTTGAGAGACTTTCCTGAGTGGCAGCTGTGTCACGGTCTTAGCTATATCTTTTGGAGGGAATCAGAATTTAGAATAGTTTTATTGGCCAATAAGAGCGACAGTTACCTCAGAATCTGTCAGAAAGATTCACTATTTGGCTAAAATGAAAGCAGAAAATGTCTCCTGTAAGATGTTACCAAACACGATATTATTAAGCATCAAAAAATTTCCTGACCATGAGTCTAAACCAGGACATGCAGCAGCGTCTAAAATGCATTTTACTTTTGGGTTCACTTCATGAACTGGTTGCTGTGACACAGCTGCTACTCAGAAAAGTCTATCAAACCATAATATCACCTACAGACATTTTCAAGGTTTATACACCACCTTGAGTGGTACCAGAAGACTTAAAGGGGACATATGATGAAAAATCCACTTCTACAGTATTTGTGTAGGGTGTAGGGGTGCTCCAAGGTAAAGAGGGAGGGAACCACATTGTTTTTACTCCATTACTAACATGAAGCTCGGACACACACGACCACCAGCAGAGCGTTTCTCCCTGCTTCTCTCTCTTTATGTAACACCTGATCTCTCATACATGTGCACATACACAGCGTGTTCATGTTAACGTGTGCACACTTCCACACCTGTGTTACCTGATTGTTACCTGATTGTGTAGCTGTAGCGTCTCCTCTTCGTTACTGCGTGTTTTGTCGTGCTCGGCTTCGTACAGCTCTCGGACTTCCCTCAGCTCCTCTCCTAGCTTCCTCACTTGCTCCTCCAGAGCCTCCTCATCACTTCTCCTCGAGCCCTTTCAACACACAGCAGAAAATCATTTCACAACAACCCTCACTGTATGCGTCTGTATTATTAACACACTCAGTTTACTTCTGATGTTTGACACATTAAGACAGCTTTAAGAAACAAATGTTCTCTTGTCACTTTATGGTGGATAAATGGTGAATGGACTTGAGCTTGTATATTTCTTTGCTAGTCTTTTACATGTGGCTACAGGAGCTGGGGATCAAACCCCTGACCTTCAGGTTGAGAGACAACTCTACCACTGATCCACAGCCGCCCCCAAGATAGGAATAAACATTTAACCATTAATTCTTATCTCCCTTCAGACTCTAAATGAATCCCATGGAAAGTCAATCACTTGGTATGTAAGCTTTAGGGTACGATTTTTCAAAACAAACTTTAGCTTCTCTCTGAATCCAAAATGACAACACCAAGTGTCATCGTTCTTCTGGGGAAAATAATTTGAAAAAAAAACATGGAGCTTATATTTGGTTGGTTGTTTATTACCGTGGACTCGTTGCCGTCCAGCAGATTCTGTGTTAATCTCCGCAGCTCTAGCAGGCTGGTGTGGAGGCTTCCAGTAGGCACATCCTTGGCTGAGGACGTCTCCGAGGACTCGTCCATGGAAGAGTCGGTTGACAGCGCTGAGTCTGTGACGTCATTTCCCCGGAGATGGGAGCACAGCGAGCGGACTTCACAGTAGGCCTCCCAAAGCTGGAGACGCATCTGAACAGGAAAAGCAAGGGGGGGGGGGGGTGTTTGCAAAGAGGCAGGTAAGTATTTGAGCATTAACACAGTGTGGTGCTATACCTACCTGTTCCCTCTCCTGCTCCTGCTCCTCCTGCTCCATGCTCTGTTCGATCTCACACAGCAGGCTGGATGGGTTCGGGGTGAGGCTGTGGAGGCTGTGTTCTTCTGTTAGGTCCTCCAGCCGAGCGCTCAGCTGTCTGTGGGACACCTGCACCTCCTGGAGCTCCTGCTGGTTCTGCCGTAACTAAACTCAACAGAAGATGAAATCCTTAAGTACACAGCAGGTCTCCAGAGAGGTCAGATGATTACTTTTAGGAAGATTGTGAAGTTGTGAAAAAAAGGTATTTTTCTTCCAATATATCCAGGTGTTGTAGTAATCTCCCAAAGGTTTTAGAGTATTTAGTGTTTGTACCTGTAGGTCCTTCTGATGACACTGCCTCTCCAACACGAGCGTCCTCTCTCGGAGGTCATCCACTGTGTTCTGCAGCAGCTCGTTCTCCTCCAGCATGGCGTGTACGCGGTGTTCTAGCTCCATCTTCCTCTCGGACAGCATCTTAATCTAACAAGCCAACACATCTCAAATCAGTTTCCTGTGCCGTGGTAAATAGGCACTACATGGCGAAACTGGATTGGTCAGCTCTCTTGGTCAATAGCGGGTGGATGGGCGGCTATGCCCAGTTTGTTGTCTTCCTTTCTTTAAGGCAGGCTGAGGTCTGACTCAGGATTTAAAAAGTCCTCCCACTGGTCTTGAGAATGTCCGTTGCCTAGCATTGGTGTAGGCGTTAGTTGCCACCCTGATCTTGAGGAATGTCTTGTTGACACTCAAGCTAACTCTTTAACATGCATCTGTAGCCGCCCTTCTATTTAATGCTAGCAAAGCAGAAACACCACACACTCTATTTCCCATGGATTGTTTCCCCTTTGTAGCTGACAGAGCAGCTTCCCTCATAAAACCAACAGTTTAGTCCTCGCTCATTTGGATCCTGCCTGCTTCTGACCTACATCTGCAAACCTATTTCACAGCATACATGTGCAGCAGTTTGTTTTTCACCGACATATGAGACATCACGTTGCCAGGTTCTGGATCATTTGTGGCTTTTAGAGTCTCTTCTGGCAAAACGCCATCAGTCATGAGTTCATGTCACCTAAAAGCGAGAAATTGGAAAAGTGGGAGCACCCAGACATTGCAGTATCCTCGGCTAAATATAGAGTGGTAGCCTTTTCTCCCAATTATAGCTCAGGCTCTGCAGTTTGGGTGTTTTCTGCCCAGCTTTGAAGAACAGCTACAGGCAACTCTCATCTGTTTCAATAGCCTCTTTCACATGACATATCTGTCATACATGACACAAATGACATCACAACACATCTCATGCTCAAATAGACAAGCATGTTTTTAATGCCCAAGCTCAGGAAACAGGGATTGCCATGATGGTGTACCCATGTGAGAGAGGGACTGTTTTACAGTAAATACAGATCACAAACTTTTGGAGTTTTATTTTCTTTAACCCTCAGTGTCACATTTATTCAACCTAGAAAAACATTAAGTTCTACTGTCAAAGTTAATGCAATCCTTGTTTCTGTAATTGTACAAAGCATCACATGCAACATGCAGCTCGGCCCACAAACAGGGTTCAGGAACGACTCACTTCTAGCCCTTGCTGCTCCAAACAAGAGGGGAGGATTTTGAGTGGAGTATTTGGGCAAAGAGAGAGAGATAAGAGACAGAGATAGGACAGATAAAGTTTGAGAGAAAGTCCACAGCGCCTTGAAAGATTCAACACTTACAAATGCTTTTAGTATTTGGTTTCAGTCAGTGAAAAGCGAACACAGGTATTGCTTCAAAGCCGTGTTTAAAGGAAGAATGTGCGACTTTTTGATCCAGTAGATTTCGCCCTTGAGCTCCAGCATGAAACCAAAACAAACTGCTGTTTGGCCACACCTCCTCCATACTGAAGCCTCCGCTCTCCTACAGAGACACACCTCAGACACCCCTCCACTCACGTTCTGATGAAGGAGTTTAAAGCAAGCGGCGGACAAAATTGTCCTTTTCTCGAGCTGTGACCGACCTGTGTCCTGCATTGTTGTGTTAGCATGCTAATGTTAGCGCTCTTTAGTTAGCTAGTGTATGACGTTGATGGTTTTATAATCAAGGTAAACTTTCAGTCACCTTTTTGTTCAGGCGGGTTATGAGAGCTTGACAGAGAATGTTTGAGAACCACAGGTAGAAAGAGAAGTCAAACAGAGTTAAAGGAGAGCTGCTCACCTCAGCCTGTAGAGTCTCAAGTCGTGTCATGTGCTGGCTTGTAGACATACTCTTCTCCCTGAAGTCGTCCCGTAATGAATTGACCTGAGTGGACAGCTGCCTCTCCACCTCTGCAGCCTGCATCCACACATTCAAACAGGAAAGACACAATGGTTAGTGGACTTCAGCTTGTATCTTCTGACTACTCAAAGTGCTTTTACTCTGCAGGTCACACCTACAAATTTACAGTCACACACTCACACAAATGCAAACACACACACACACACACACACACACACACACACACACACACACACACACACACACACACACACAGATATGGGACGGCAGAAGCTCGGTCTGTCCTTGGGTTGGGAAACCGGAGGGTTGCCCGTTCAAGTCCCGGTGCGGACCAGAATGTGGAAGTTGGTCTGGTAGCTGGAGTTCTTGTCCCAAGCACTGTTGAGGTACCCCCAGCTCTAGTGTCCCCCTTTGGAAGCAGTGTGTAGCAGCCCCACTGTGACATGTGTGTGATTCGGGCCTATGTGTGTGAGAAGCATGTCTCTCAATTACAGAGTGTATAAACAGAATTTCCCCTCAGGGATTAATAAAGTATGTAAATGAAAAATACACATAGTCTCTCACACACACACACACACACACACACACACACACACACACACACACTCTTACACACTGGTAGACTCACGTATGATCACTATGTACTCAGACCTTCTATGGTCTATTCCTGGAATAATGCATGTGATAGCGTTCCCTTTGTGATAGTCTAAAAGCCTGTTTCTAAAACCTTCTCACACTCCTTCATTCAGAGTTTTTTGTTCAACCCAGTCCAGCCGCAGACTGATTGCTACAGCGGAGCTCTTTGGACAGGTGAGACCGGGCAACAAAGAGAGCTGAGCTTCATTAGCATAGAGCTGCACTCAGGAAGCTAGAATTTGCATTATCATCATCACTGCCATGGCAACAACAAAATCCTCAAAGCGACCCACTCATTACAGCTCACTGAGGAGACTAAAAATAAAATAAGTGTGCCAGGAGACACCGCAGGTTACAGAGCCTCACATCTGTACTGTTGTCCTAAGAAGTCCTTTACTTTGAGGGATCATGCATGTTTAAAAATGACCTGTACTCATTTTGTTTGCCTTTCCACTTCTTGATGCCGATAGAAAATTGGGCTAAGTTGATATCAGTCCAAGTGTCAGCCTCTAGGTGGCACTGCTGCTTCTCCATCAATAGCTGGTGTAAACGATACATCAACCCACCTCCGTTCAGTTCTGTGTTTACGGTGTAACACTGGATGTGTTCTGCGTCTGCGTTCGACTCTGAGTGTACTGATATGACAAGCAGCTACAGGAGGGCTCTGTTTCAGCTCGGGGCTTCACCCTGAACTGAACTTGATCTGCATCCCTCTGGAAGCACTGAGTTCTCTATTGTGATCCTTTCTGATTTTATTCTGGTCAAAAAGCTCCAGCTACACTCGTAGCAAGAAGATCAATTTAAAACAAATTGGACCAACGCGTTTCGGCCTTCATCAGGGTCATCAGGATGACCGGAACGTGGCGCTCTAATTTGTTCGAAGTTGATCTTCGTGTGTTGCTGGAGCTTTTTGACCTCCTCTAAGCCTTTCTCTCTTCATGCACCGTGGTAGTTGGTGAAGTAATGCCAGAGATCCTCTGCTTCTTCAGGGTTCTATTCTGGTTAAACAGATAGTTATGCATGTCAGAAAACGATTGCATCACAAAAAGCAAACTGTGTTATACTTTAAAACGTTTCATATTCAAGTGTAAAAGGTTTACATCTGCAACTGTTTTTGTAATTAAATGGCATGAATCGGATAAGTAAGGAAAGACAAAACAAGATCCGCACACCAGGAAGCTCCTGTTTGAAGGATCTATTAAGCAATCAGATACCCATCTCTGAATGAAAGGAAAAGATATCCCGGCTCTTTTCATCAAAGTCATGGAAGAGAATTATTTACTTCCAGGAGCTCCAGCAACACATAAGTCGTTTTCAGACTGCAGGAACTTTTTCATAGTTCTAGGAACTGTTGGAACCCTCCCCCTTTATTAATGATCCGCACCGCAGGAACTATGTACTGATTTAGTTCTTATATCCCTGTTTAGAGGAACCTTTATAGATCCTACTTCATATGGAGGTATGGTGTTGTGAATGCAGACAATGGACAGATATGAGATTTTTGGGGCCGATATCGATATTGGGGTGAAAAAAAATCCAATACCGATATATCAGCTGATATCTTTCTTAGATCTAGCTTCGATATGTAGAGATATAGATAGATATAGATATACACATTAATCGCTGATTCCTCCATGCAGTTATCAAACAGTTGTTGAAAAGATAACAAAGACAAGATGGTCACTCGACTGGAAAGTAACTGAGCATAAACATGCTTCACGGCTTACCTCAAATATTTCCAACACTTATCAAAGTCAGAGAAATCCTTCATTTAATAGTTGTAGCAGAGAGAGCTCCCATGATTCCCCGCCAGCCTTGGCGTCATCTTTTGGTATTGTTTTGACTGAGAGCCCCCTGGTGGCAGAGTCTATATACTGTGCTTTTAAGATTTTGAGTGTGTAACATATTTTAGGACATATCATTTCAACTATGTTATGCCCAGTTAAAAACACTGGGAAAAAAGATGACATTAACCATTTATTAAGGCGTTGAGCTTTTTGCATCTATGGTCTTTCTCAGGCCTACAGTCCTCTTGTTGGTACTTTCAGCTGATACTTCTAGGTCTGGTATTAACAGATCTGCTTTCCAGTGTGACAGCTGCATTTGCCTCCACTTCCCTGTGTGGGAAACAGATGTGCAGTCAATAGAGGCCGGTGCAGCGGCAGGTCAGAGTGTGACCCAGTGGCCCGACACACTGACAGATTGACATCACGTTGAAAACCCTGCATATCCGACCACAGAAGGCCTGGTTACTGCGGTTACTCACATAATCTGCACAGAAAGTCCTCAGATCCTAGCTCAAGCATTACCAACACAACATGACAATCCAGGACAACAGGGGCCAAGCAGACCCGCTGTGATCTAATCCAGGGCAGAGAAGTAGGGCTCATCAGAGAGACGGTTTCCTTTAACGCTCCTTCACTCTGACATCTACATGAGCCTCTGCTGTATGCTCAGGCTGAGGAGGGGGGAAACAGGAGGACTGGTGATTCCTGTTGATTCAGTGACTGTGAAGCAGCATGCTAACAGATATAGCAACAAGTCCATGACAGGTGCTTGGTGGCAAAACTTAGCATCAAACTATCTGTACCCTTGTGCCTTTCTGTTCAGCACATTCCCATGGTAACAACACGTGGAGTTCCAATTTGCATGTCAATCTGGTTGTCGTAGCAACCAGGGAGGAGTGGGATTGGTGGAGCTGAGCCTTGTGGTGTCAATGCTTCTGGTGTTTTCCTTAGTCACTTTCGCAGAACACTGCCTCGTCTAGACCTATGGAGGATGGGCAACCCCACATTCAAACAGTTGCGTAACAAATACTCATAGTGACAAAAACCCGCCAGTCAGGGGGCTGATCTCGGGAGCTGCAGCTACACCTGAGGCTGCTGGAAGACAGATGTTATGTGCTCCAGTGATTGAATGGGATCAAAGCTGCAGGCTGGACAGACGGTGGTGTGTTACAAGGTTCTTTAAGGAGGAGTGAAACTGGATTCTATGATACATGCCACTGAAACAACATAGGATGCCACTCTCATAATGTTGATATCACAACTTGCATGTTACATTGTGGTGAATTTAGTTTTTAATGGTCACATAGGCCTACAGGAATAGTATGCGATTGTTCACACTTAAATGTAGCAGAAATCAAGCATATCCCCTCAAAATAACTCTGTGAGTCATGACTGTCTACACTGAGAGTGACACCCGAGTCCCACTGTCTGTGATGTTGTCCAAGCCGTATCTACAACGTGTTTACATGGACAGGCCGGCCAGCTCATCCCCCGGCGAATAAAAGTTGTTTAATTGAGGGACTAGAGAAAAGAAGAATAACATACTGTACTCACTGCTTATTTGAATGTCATGAAAGACTTTTTAGATAACAGTCATTCCGTGTAAATTTCCATGCAGTGTGAAGATACGAGTATTTTAAAGATTGCTAGCATTAGCATGCTAACACAACAATGCAGCACAAGTTGTTTTGGTTTCATGCTGGTGCTCATGCTGTACCTTTAAATATGTAAATGAGCTGTGTCTGACCACGCCCCCTCTCTGGAAGGACTTGGGTGTACTTGGTGCTTTCTCGCTCCATGTCCTATTGTTTACAGTGAGAAGGCCGACTCAGAGGGCAGAACAAACACCTAGCTGTGGGAGTGTCACTCACCTGGGGGAGGGGCTACTGCCCTTTGTGATGTCATGAAGGGAAACTCTCCAAACGGCCTGTTTGAGCACACATTTTCTGAAAAGTGGAGCAGGCAAAAGATGAAGAGGATGGACTTTTCTCATCATAGGGGGGTTTATAGACAGACTAGAGACACATATTAGAGTTAGAGGAACATGGTGACATTTATTTTGGACCTTAAGGAAATGTGATGTCTTCCATATCTTAAAAAATAGCATTTTGATTATTCTGATGGGTTTCTGTCAGTGTTTAGTTTAGGAAAGGTTGAGGGAAAAAGATTTGACCATGCGGACATGTTTGAGTCACTGCATCCCAAGCTTTCTTAGAGCCTGCGTGTTAATGTAATTAAGGACAGGTCCCCTTCCTGCCCGTTCACTCTGATCAGATTACTAAGGCTGTTCTCACAGTCCAGAGACACACAGACAGACACACACCTCATAGGCTGTGCCTCTGGAGCAATGGGAACACAGTGAATACACTATCATGCATAGTCTTACCACCCAGGTTTGGAAAACCACTCGCGCACACACACACACACACACAGCAACACTAGAGAGAGGCGGAGCCACAGTGGGTATTTTTACCCGCGCTGGATAAGACGTGAGGACATAGCCTGGGACTAATATTTAAATCTTCTTTGCCAAAATAACCAAGTTACCTGCTGGTATTAATTAAGTAGAGTATAGATTGGAGTTGTTGTGGTTCCTGACTGAATGCATATGGCGAGGCTATTTAGCACGGATTACAGTCTAATCCCCTTAGCGCTGTATTTTACTCTATGTCTTACTTCACTTCTAGTGGAGAGCCCCGGCTCCTCAAGGTCATCTCACTGCAGCCAATAGAAGGCCTTGTTATGAACTTAATGCCTTTAGTTGTTAGGCTGGTAATACAGTAATACACTGTGTCGTCAATCTCATCTTCATCTACGAGGTTTATCTCAGAAAGAAAACTCCAGGAAGCTTGCCGAACTTGAAGTTACTCGTTCATTGTCACAGTGGGATTCTGGTAAAAAATCTCCACCCATGGACTCCACCCCCAGCCTAGAACAAAACTTTAACGCAGGTCGGCCATTTTTATTCTCTCTCCAGAGGATTGATGTCTACGGGGAAAACTCAGGGGAGGGCTGATTGCATTTAAAGAGACACACACACCAAAATGGAGCATTCTGAGAGAGCTGGTTTATACAGGGTCACAAACCTCCTCTGGTGCTTGATTCATGTTATATTTTGACCAAAGCACAGCACAGATGTTTCATTTAGACCACAGGGGACTGTTTGAAAAGGTGGAGGAGGGGGATAAGATGTCCTCTTTAAAGATCTGCACAGTATAACCTTCAATGTTTTCATCTCCATATATTTTCAGTTAGTTCATTGTAAGTTAGGGTGGTTTCACATTAGGGACCCGGGCCTGGATTCGAGTACGCTTGACCCCAAAGTCCGGTTAATTTGATCAATGTAAACACAGACGTACCATATTCAGGTACTTGGCATGAGTACACTTAAAGAGGTGGTCTCTGGCACGATTTACATGTACTCGAGTACGGTCCACGGGGGATGTGAACGCAACCGTGCTCAAACAAGGAAGTGGACCGCTATATGGCGTAATTCTAAATGTCTCCTGTTGTCTAAAAAAACATGATATCTGTGCAGCACAGGCCCGTTTCATCCTCTGAGCTGCACAGTAGATATGGACGTATTAAGAAGGTCGTTGTTGGTGCCTGAGAATGAACAAAAACATGTGTTTTGGCTTACAGCGGCGCACATCCACACCATTATTAGACACTTACAGTTAAGAGTTAACTCATGTAAGAAACAGGGACAGCAGATGGAAATAGTTTGGCCTCCAGCGGCCTCACAGCTGCAGGGTTTCCTCAGGGTGGTTTAACATTCACTCAGAGCTGTACACAGCTAGCATAACTTAGCTGATCGCTAGAAAGAAACAGACAGAAAGAGCAGGACAGAAAAGAAAGCAAGGATGACTCAGAGAAAGAAATGTAATATGAGGGAGAAAGCAAAGCACTGTGGCTGACCTCATTTGTTCTATTACCCACCAGGTCTCCCTCCGTCTGTCCAATTCTCTGCACTGTGACTTCTGTATCGATGAAGTCAATTAGTTCTCATAAATTTCACTGACTCACATTGGCCACTAGATATGCCACCACCGCATAATCCAGACCACTGTCAATGAATATCTTTATAGATTTCCCACCCCCAGGTTTCAGTCAAATTAAATGCAATTTAATTATGTTAAGTGAAACTCCGGCTCCAATCCATATCCAACTGACAGGTCTAGATCAGGAGAGTCCTTGATAAAATGTAGTGATGGTGTTTGGGGCAAGATGGGGGCAAGGGGGGGATTTAATCTGATCAGGATGAGAGGGAGAGCTAGGCTGGTCAGCAGCAAGAGGGGGGCTTTAAAACAACCCCACAGAGTCACACCTACACATTCACACACTGATGGTAGAGGCCGCTGAGTAAAGAGTCCATCAGTATTAACTCATCCATTCATACGCTGCTGATGAAGCAGCGAGAGCAACTTGGGGTTTAGTGTCTTGCCCAAGGACACATCTGACATATGATTGCAGGAGCTGGGGATCAAACCCCCGACCTTCAGGTTGAGAGACTACCAACTGTACCACTGAACCACAGCCGCCCCACGGGGTAAGGACAGATTAAATAAATCAAATCATAGAATCGGTCTCACAAAAACTTAAAGGCAGGGTTGGTAGTTTCCAAAAACTAGCATGATTTTGAAAGTAGCATTCCCTCAGTGCTACGTCTGCAACCACCCCCTCCCCTCTATGCAAGAGGTAGACATGGAGGCATGTGATTGGTTCATCAGATTGGTACCTTGTGCAGACATTGGTCAATGTTTTTACAGACTTACAAACTGATACAGATGATGGATTTTCTTTGTTCCTTTTTCAGAGAACATGAGTTATTAATTTCTTTCAGGACCTAAAGACAATTTACACCAAAATCTGAAAAAGTGTATCGGGAGGAAATTACCAACCCTACCTTTAAGTCTCAATCAGTACAAAAGAGTACCATCAAATCCTTTATCACTCTGGCTTTAACACACATCAGGAATATGAAGGTCTATGTCTGTTCTATGTGCGGACTTTGTGTCCTGGTTTTGGTGTCGATGCAGGACAATGACACATTATCAAGGTTTCTTTTCTTTTTGTTAGCACGACCTGTTATACGACCATGTACAGTGTGTTTAAGCCATCGACAAAGCCTGAGTGACATCACCCGTCTGTTCCTGCAGCGGGCGCTGGAGTCCCATCGATGGCGGTCTCCACGCTGGAAATGCTGTCTCAGTCTAACTTTCAGTCAACCTAACAACAGGCTGAGAGCTGGAGCTGAGGCGGGTTTTAAACCTCCTGATAAACCGTTACACCGCGCCCACCTGTCAATCAGGTCAGCTACACACCTTATTGTGAATAACTCTAATCCTTCATCAAATCAAAACTGATGAGTCATCAAAACATTCACCCCTTGTACAGTGTGTGTCCATCAAGACATGAGCTAATCACACCTATTTGTTTTTTTTAACCAGGCTGTAAACATGTTAATCTCTGCTGTAAAAATAGGCTTTTTAGAATGGGTGTGTATGTGACTTCCTGTGTTCCTGCAGCCAGCCTCTAGTGGACACTCCAGGAACTGCAGGATTTTACACTTCTGTATCTGCTTCATTTTTCAACACCGGAGGTTGCCGCTTGGTCAAGCCCAATGAGTCTAAAGATGTGTCACCTGGTCTACAAGAAAGCTGCTGGCACACCTCAGGACACAGTGATGATGACGAGTAATTACTACTGATAAATATTTATAATTATACCAAAGTTTCCCACAAGTTCAAAGAGGGTCATCTCATCCTGTATACAACAGTTAGGTCCAACCAAGCAATCTGATTGGACAGCAGGCACTCAGCCTAATGATCTGATCACTAATCACAACAAGCATTACAGCAAACTGTCTTGATATTTGAAGCTTTTACACCTGAATCACAACAGACCCCTATATCACCGGTAACATGATAAATTCAAACAATAAATATAGTTAGGCTAGTCGGTGAGCGTGGCTAAAGAAGAAGGAATGAAAGGGAATGAGTTAAGTCGTGGAACTTGTTGAATTGGTGGAGCAAAAAATACTACTTTATTGTGGATTCTTTTTTTTACTTTTTACTGCATTTAGTGCTCGTTTAGCTAAAAGCAATTCATCCTGAGCTCCTTCTGTTGTAGCTCTCTATCAATCTCCATCTACTGCCCAATCAGTCTCTCCTCTCATGCAGACAGTACATTAAAGAAAGTAAAACTGTTAGCTCGCTTGGTGTAGTGTAGGACACTTGTGCTAGGGCCGAGTCTTTACTGAAGCAGAACTTTGCTGACTGTCATCTCCTCAGGCTACCTTACCTCTCCAGGGTCTCTATAACATGTTGGTGCATAATCTCTACTTCTCATGCCACAACAGAGAGCTGATTAATGTATGCATGTTGAGATGTATGTAACTTTCTTTACAAAAAACAACAATGAAGGTCTGATGTGTGGGTGGATATATCACTCTACTTAAGAGAAACAACAGGATGGAGATGGATAACCTTCTCAGCAGCACTTTACTGTCATCCACATCGCTCCGCTACACAACAACAACAACAACAACAACAACACTTCCTTGTTACTCATCACACGTCCCCCTGTTAGCCAATCGGAGGCTAGGATGATCAAACTCAAGGCAAACATTATGACAACCACAGAGGTAGATTCAATATAATTTAGTCGCAGTTACTATGTGCAACTGGAAATATTAAAACATGTAAATTAGCAATATTAACTTTGTAAACTCACATATGTAAATAGTTTACTGTATAAATGTTGTGAGCTTATTTTAACTTAAACTTCAATATATGAATTTACTTCACTTTTGAAGCTTTACAGTTCTTTATAATTACTGCACTGGTGTAACCTGTCAAAATGCAGAGTGCTATTGCTTTGCAGTCCAATCTGTCTAAATTATTCAACTGATCGCCCGAAGCTTCACTTATATATTGATGAGTCAGCATAAATCAGGTTGATATAGAAAAAGGCACTCGTGAAGTAAATCCTCCCCTAAGAGAAGACGAGTCCTCACTGACCTGAACATCTTTCTATCAGTCTACTCTGGATAACATGAATTGGACTGAGTGGCCCCCGAGGGAGGGTCATGGAGAAAAGACACGCACGCACACACACGCGCACACACACACACACACACACACACACACACACACACACACACACACACACACACACACACACACACACACACACACACACACACACACACACGATCATGTGACACAATGTCTCGAAGCCTAGACTAATGAAATCTTCCACTCAGATTGGCTCAGCCTGAAGCTGTGCCCTACAGGTGGGGGCACACATGATCACACACACACACACACACACACACACAGAGACACACCCTCACCCTACTGAGTTGCTCCAGCAGTCTGTGATTCTGTTCCGAGAGTTCCCCGATGGCCTTCGTCTTGTCCCTGTCGGTGTCTCTCAGCTGGACCTGGTGGCGCTCCAGCTCACCCTGCAGATGCAGGATGTCAGTCTCCAGCTCTGCCACGCGGCCCTCCCACTCCCCCTCTCGACTCTCCAGACGCCGACGCAGCTCATGCTTCTCCTGCTCCAAGTGCTGCATGCAGGAGAGGGAATAGGGTGACAGGGTCAGTCAGTCAGTCCATTATTAATATTGTATATATTTGTACTATCTCAGAGACCCAACATAAATCCACAATTAGCAAACAGGTGAAACATTTTCTGGTGATTTATTTATTAGGCAATCAGGTTTTAAGGGTTTAAATGGCCATAACTGCATTAACATATTTCACTTTTTTTTTCAAAAACTGGACCGAATAGGTTCTAGTATCAACATGAGAGCATCATAAACTAAAGAGGTTTGACATGTGTGACCAACACCAGACACTAAAGAGTACGACCTGGACATGCTCTTTTTGTAAAGTGTCTTGAGATATAGGTAAATACATAGAAACATGAACTGATTGTTACATGCGGTGAGGAGATTTGAAAGTGAAGCAGTCATTTGTGTCCCTAACTCCTGAAGTGACACTTCTTTTTATTGCCTAGATTACAATGAATGGTGGACAGATGCACTGCAGCACCACGGGCTGCCAGAGCTCTGATGGGGGGTTGTTGTTGTTATGGCATCTATGAGTTATAACTCTGAGTAACTGTCTGAACTAAAAGAGGGGAACCAAAGAGATTCAGAAGAACAACAACTGATTGAAAACGATACAAGGACCTGTCACATAATCCTAATAAGGAGTTTGATATAAAGATGCAGCTCATTCCTCTGAACTGTAATGTATAAGCCTGCATCAAAGAGGCTGAACAGATGTACAGTAGATAGAGTGTAAAGCCTGTACAGCTATAGGATTAGTTTGTGTTTCTTTCTGAGGCTCCATGTTGGCTCGCAGGAAGGATTTTGAAAAACAAAAACAAAAGCTCTGCCGCACAGCATCCGTAGTAAACATGAAACACCTTTTAGAGCTCGACAATACACTGACATGAAGAAGTTTAAATGACTCTCCAGTTGTAATTTACCTTTAAAGGAGTTTTCAGCTTACAGCAGACGAGCAACAATAAAATGCTATCACAGTCCAAGCCTTTTTTCAAACACTTTTTTTGTGTTGTGTTGCTCTTCAGTTTGTTTACATTGCAAAGACCAGGGCCTAACTTTACTATAAAACCACACAGCCCAGTGAGGGCCAGCAGCAACACTTGGGTGAATAATATCTGTGTATATATTTGAGTTTACCTCTAATTTCTCGTTGAGATCTTTGTGCATTTTCTCATATTGCTTGGTCAAGTCTTGGTTTCTCTCCAGCAGCGCTTTGCCGAGTTTAGCAGCTAAAACCAAGTCTTTCTCCTTTTGACGGAAGAGCGACAGCAGGTCTGCGTTGTGCCCCACCGCAGGCATCTCCACGTCCGACAGTCCCCCTTCGTCGCCCCTCTCACCAGAAAGCATGGCCAGTTCCTCTTCCAAGGCCATGCCGAGGCCTCCGGAGCCGGTGTGCCGCAGCGGCTGCCCCGGATGTTTCGTGGGGCTCGTACGGGGCTCTAAGCAGTCGCTGTCCAGCTCTAGTGGTGCTGAAACCCCGGCAGACGTCTGCAGGTCTAGGTAGAAAGCGGACATTGCCGCCCGACGGAGGAGAAGCCAACAGATGAGAGTCAACTGGTTTCTATTTGGGACGAACCCACCCTGGACTGACAGGGTTGGGCTGACCGGACCGGCTTACAATCGACAATCCGTCCCTCATTCTCGCTCTTCAGAGGTAGATCCCGTTAATTTGAACACCGCTGACTTCCCAGTTTTCTCACGATCCTCTCTCCTCGTCTGCCAACCAGCCCCGGCTCAGGCTCAGATTGGGACACAGTTTAGACTCCTCCTATGCAGTTTACTGACTAGCTGTTTGTTATAGGACGCACAATGTGTTTTCTTTTTATCCCGGAATAAATAGGATGCGCGTTAATGCCTCGGCAGTGACGCCAGTGACGGCCTGTTACAAACACGCACCCCATTGGCTGAGAATGATAGCGCCATATTTTGGTGCTTCTCGCTCTCACAAATCTGTGACACCGAGCTGTAGCCTCGTGTGAAGAGATGTCGTCAAAAATGATGCAGCAGCCATGAGCAGAAGAAGCAGAGCAATACACATGAGAATGATGATAAATAACTCTGCATGACATCCGGGGTAAAATACCAGACTGATACTTTTATGATTATGAGCCTGACCAGGAATAAAATAAACAAATCGTTTTCACTCTTTTTAACTGTCACAGCTTAAATAATAACAGTAGCTCAGTATTCTATAACGATTATTACCCCCACTGTAAGTTTGATATATTACAACGGAAATAAAACTATACCTCGTGTGAACAAGTTGAAATACGTAGAAGATAAAGCATTACTTGTGAAATAAACTGCTCAGTATAATAAATCTATTTGAAGTATTACTGTCGGATTAGAAGCTGAATCTGAAACTTTGAGGCATGTAGGTCTGCCGATCAGTCTCTTTGTTGACGAAACAGTTTCTGCATCATGTTTTTATTTTATATTAAAGGCAGCATTTATACAGTTTGAGCAATTAAACTGCCATTTATATTAAACTATCTTAAAGTAACTCAGTGAACATACAGTGTCACCTTCAACCTTTAAAGGTGCACTGTCGAGTTTTGGTGGTGAAATTTGAAAGTTGGAGATGTTATATTTTCTGAACTGAATACTCAAACTTTACTTAAAGAAAAAAAAGAGTCCTTGGACACTGTTTGGAGCTAAAAAGCTACCAGGAGAGTTTTACTGCTGCGGACCCACATAACTCCTCCTGTATCATTTCATCTTCAAACAGTGTTAGGGGTACACATGTTCCTCTGAAGACTGTTTGTGTATTATGAACATATACTACAGAATCTGTACACTTTCTCTAATCTACCAAAACTACATACTGCACCTTTAATATTCAACCTATTAGCCCTATAATGTGTAGCTAACATTGACAATTGCTGTTTGTTTTCTTTGTTTGGGACAATCTTTTGTTTGTTTTTGTTTTTATTTATTTTATGACAGAGTTCCTTAAATACGCTCTAGGATAATTTCTTTCAAATATCTTTATTGATTGTTTTTCTGGTATACAAGTATAAAACATGAAAATTATTCAGTTTCACAGAGGTGATCTGTGTGATAACAAGTAGAAGAAACAAAAGGAGAGATCACATCTCCAGCAGACCGTACACAGACCAGCAACAAAAACAAAACAGAGAAAAATTAACTGTAGTAAACAGTAACAGAAAAACAAAAGCAAAACTAAACAAAACAAGGGGGGCCATGTTGCTTCCAGATATAGAGAATTACACATAACATAGATAATAAATAAATCAGAGACAGCATCCAAAGTTTACAATCCTGTACATCACAACACACAAACATGTTGATCTGTGTAACTCTACAGCGAGTCAGCCATGTACCTCCATCAGACCCTTCATTACAATGCCTGTCAGTCTAGTACCAAGATATACTAAGAATGGAGACCAGATATCATAGACAACCTCTATCATACACTTTCATCTGTAGGTCAGATATTCCATGGGTAATATATCAAAAATAATCTCAAATAACCACCCAGCTATCGCTGGAGGTTTGCAATCACTCCAGGATCATTTGACCTGCAGCAGATACAGGTTTCATAAACATTTAGTCTGAAGACATTTGTCTACAAATATAGAGGTCACAGTGTTTCTTAAGACCGCTGATAAAGAGTGCCCATCAAAAAGTGTGATGTCACTGATAAAGTGATACAAATTTATATGACTTATAAGACTTAAAGACGTTTAACAAACAACAACAACAAAACAAAGATGAAATAATGTCAGAGAAGGAGGAGGTCAGAGTCTGTTAGTGGGTAGGTGATGAAGAAGAGGAGAGTTTTAGGGATTTCTTGAAGGTGGAGAGTGTCTCTGATGGTTTTTGGGAGTGAGTTCCAGAGGGTGGGAACACCAATGACTGGGGGGTAGGGGGTTGCAGGAGGTTTGTGTTAGCAGACCTGAGAGGGCAGGTGAGAGGAGGAGCACTGGAACACTCCCAAAATGTTGGGACATGCAGGATAAAGACACAACTGTACTTATTCTAACGACTCTTTCTTTTGTTTTTTTTATATTGGGGGTCAAAGTGTTGGTAACTGATGTCTGTGGTTCTACCTATCAGAGGTGGACTAATAAGAGGGAGCAACCTAAAATAAGAATTGGCGGCTTTCAGCAGCAGGTAATAAATGACAGATGATGATGTTGAGTGTGAGGTCAGGAATGTCTCTGCAGCCTTGGCACACAGCAATGTGTTTGAATCTATGTTTATGAGTTGGGGGATGAAGGTGGAGGCCATGCGGTCTGGTTGATGCTGGGGGAGGGGCTTTAGTCATGAACGATCACAAACAAAGCCTCATGAGCTGATCAAGTGAAAAGAAGTGGGTCACAGCACATAGCTTCAGGGACTGTTGGGACCACCCAGTAGATAATGAGTGATCTCCTTAAAGCCCACAGCGGATGCTCCTGAGCTGATGGTGGGGAGGGGGTTCGGTGCCTTGCTCAAGGGCACCTCGGTAGTGCTCAAGTCCCTGCAGACTGAGCTACTGCCGCCCAAGGGACCCATAACAAACACCTCTAAGCAGTGATGTTCAGGATGATATCATCCCTCATGATAATGAACAAAACCTGACCACAGATTAACATGAAGGAAAACAACAGCTTATCACTTCCAACTCCTCATCATAGTTATCATGGGGATTTGGTGATACCCCCCCTGATGGAGTCTAGAACCTGGTGGTGATACCCCCCTAATGGAGTCTAGACCCTGGTGGTGGTGGTGATACCCCCCCTGATAGAGTCTAGACCCTGGTGGTGATGGTAATACCCCCCTGATGGAGTCTAGACCCTGGTGGAAGTGGTGATCCCTGAACTCCGTTAATTCATTGCCTTATTGATGATGATGATGAAGTTGGTGATGATGTTGGTGATGATGGTGATGATGATGATGATGATGATGATGATGAAGTTGGTGATGATGTTGGTGATGATGGTGATGATGATGATGATGTTGGTGGTGGTGATGATGATGATGATGATGAAGTTGGTGATGATGATGATGATGATGAAGTTGGTGATGATGATGATGATGATGATGATGAGTTGGTGATGATGTTGGTGATGATGATGATGATGATGATGATGAAGTTGGTGATGATGTTGTGATGATGATGATGATGATGATGATGAAGTTGGTGATGATGATGATGATGATGAAGTTGGTGATGATGTTGGTGATGATGATGATGATGGTGATAGTGATGGTGATGATGATGATGGTGATGATGATGAAGATAATGATGATGATTATGATGATGATGATGGTGATGGTGATGATGATGGTGATAGTGATGGTGATGATGATGATGGTGATGATGATGAAGATAATGATGTTGATGATGATTATGATGATGATGATGGTGATGGTGATAGTGATGGTGATGATGATGATGGTGATGATGATGAAGATAATGATGATGATGATGATGGTGGTCGTGGTGGTGATGATGAAGATGATGATAATGATGTTGGTGGTGATGATGATGATGATGATGGTGATGGTGATAGTGATGGTGATGATGATGATGGTGGTGGTGCTGATGAAGATGGTGATGATATTGATGATGATGTTGGTGGTGACGATGATGATGATGATGATGATGATGTTGGTGGTGATGATGATGATGATGATGATGATGATGATAGTGGTGGTGATGGTGATGTTGGTGATGATGATTATGATGATGATGATGGTGATGATGATGATGATGATGATGATGGTGATGATGATGATGATGGTGATGATGATGATTATGATGATGATGATGGTGATGATGATGATGATGATGATGATGATTATGATGATGATGGTGATGATGATGATGATGATGATGGTGGTGATGATGATGATGATGATGATGATGATGATGATGATGATGGTGATGGTGATGGTGATAGTGATGGTGATGATGATGATGATGATGATGGTGATGATGATGAAGATAATGATGATGATGATGATGATGATTATGATTATGATTATTATTATGATAAGTTGGTGATGATGTTGGTGATGATGATGATGATGATGATGATGATGATGATGATGTTGGTGGTGATGATGATGATGATGATGATGTGATGGTGATGGTGATGGTGATGGTGATGATGATGATGATTATGATGATGATGATGATGATGGTGATGATGATGAAGATAATGATGATGATGATGATGATGATGATGTTGGTGGTAGTGCTGATGAAGATGGTGATGATAATGATGATGATGTTGGTGGTGATGATGATGATGATGGTGATGATGATGTTGGTGGTGATGATGATGATGATGATGATGATGATGATGATGATGATGTTGGTGGTAGTGCTGATGAAGATGGTGATGATTGTGGTGGTGATGGTGATGTTGGTGGTGATGATGATGATGATGGTGATGGTGATGATGATGTTGGTGGTGATGGTGATGATGATGATGATGATGATGATGGTGGTGATGATGATGTTGGTGATGATGATGATGATGATGGTGATGATGATGATGATGATGATGATGATGATGGTGGTGATGATGATGGTGGTCGTGATGATGATGATGATGATGATGGTGGTCGTGATGATGATGATGATGATGGTGGTCGTGGTGGTGATGATGATGATGATGGTGGTCGTGATGATGATGATGATGATGGTGGTCGTGGTGGTGATGATGGTGGTGATGATGAAGATGATGGTGGTGGTGATGATGATGATGGTGGTCGTGGTGGTGATGTTGGTGGTGATGATGAAGATGATGATGATGATGATGGTGGTGGTGATGATGATGATTATGGTGGTCATGGTGGTGATGATGGTGG